TGGGAAACATCTTTAACATCACCCATTTTCTCTCTACCATACTCCATCCCTCATCGTTACTTCCAGGGCTTTAAGAAGAAATGGAGTCATCTGATAGTAGCTGGCTCTGGGGACCAGGTGCCTGACTGTCATTTAAAAGACTCAAGGCTGAGCAGTTGGAAGAATCTAGCCTGGCCTGGCTTCCAGACAGCTGGAGTCTTCCTGTCTACATGATCCCTACACGGCCGGTGCACCAGAACCTTGTTTTCTCTTCTGGCTTTGATTCTAACTAGTGAGGAGCATTTGGACCACTCACTAAATTTCTCTGGATCTGTTTCTCTATTTATCAAACGAAAGGTTTGATGTAGAGAATTCCCAAATTTGCTGTCCACATAAAAGTCCCATGATTACTAGTGACCTACTTAAGCTTCATTTCCCTTGCTTTTAAAGCACAGAGGGTCTTGTCCACATCACTGGGAGGTGGTGAGAGTATACACAGAGTGCTCAGGAAACCTTAAAACAATGCAAATTGTAGTTGTCATCACTATGATTCTTTTTCCAGCTTCCTCTTTTAGGCCATGCCTCAAGTGTTTCAGCATTTGTGCTAAAGGAGATATGTCCTCTCATGGAAATTGCTAAGTTCTTGGCTTCCACAAAAGGAGGCCAAGATATCAGTGAAGGTAAATGAGGCTGACGCAAATGATAACTGCATCTGCTTGTTCTTTGGAAGGAAAAGGGCTACTCTCCCCAGAAAGATGGATGCTTCTCAGTTTCACGCAAGGGTTTGAACAGAGTGCTCAGACCTCAAAGCATGAAAAGGCTCTGAAGAGCTCCAAGGTCGCCCACAGTAATTACTTACGTTAACCTGTTAGCATAACACCAGTCCCCCCTACCCCTGCCTTGTCCTTCTTTTGTTTAGGGGATGGCTTCATGTTGTTGCCCAGGCTGGCCATCCTCTTGCCTCTCTCTGCCTGCTGATGGAATGACAGGTATGACGGCCATGCTTGGCTTCTGCCATCATGCTTGCCTTTGGGATGGAGTTTTACTCTCAAAGCTTTGTATCCAGAGACAGCTCCTAGATTGAAAGTGACAGTTCTTTTGCCCCTACCTCATTTGAATCCTTTCTAGATGCTAGAGGAAAGTTCTGTGGTCCCTTGTTTTTCACTCCCAGGACTCCTGTGGTGCCTCCTAAGTTCTTGGCAGAGCCTGTCAAGGTGTTAGAACTTGAATGAATCCCAGAGAACTCGCAAAGTAGACAACTTCTTTTATGGCCTAGATTATTGGTGCATTTAATTGATCTGGGAAAGAGATGTTGAAATGCCCAAAGCCATGCAGTTAGGAACAAAGTCAATAACTTAAAAGCAAAAATTAGAAATTGTACTTCCCTTCTCGCAAACCTTAATGAGCCATGTAAACCCTCTGTGTATCTTAACAGCGCTTAGACCCAAAGCATACCAGGAAACCAAGGTATTTAATGCCTATCTGATTGCACAGCAAGGACTCTGCTGTCACCCCTGGACAGGGACGTGGCTTGCCCTTGGTTATAGTTATAGTCTTTCCTTTCCTTTTCATCCCCAGAATGAGTTGTTTTTGAAAGGAAGCGGAAGTTGCGATTTCATTATCCTGGACAGAGTGAGTGAAGAGGGAGGGGATCTTGTCTAACAGCAAAATTATTGTTAAGCCTATAGGCAAATGGCTTTGAACAACAAAGATTGTATGGCAGTTTATAATGTGAGAAGAAAATACACACAATGGCTAAGAACCTTCAGAAGTCCTAGGCTTTAGATACTAGCCATCCTCAGATAGAAAATGCCTTTTCCAAGAACACAGCTGGATTAATTAGCTGCTTTTCACAGAATAGGCAGCCAATAAATAACTTGCAGATTGATTTGCTAGGCAAGAATTCTTGGCACCTTGTTACTTTTCTATTTCTAGTTTATTTTTTTAAATTTATTATTATTATTATTTAAAAAAAAACGTTTAGCTATAAAGGCATAGGTGATCAGGGCTCAGTATGGCTAGAAGGAATGTTAGTGACAGTGGCCGTCATCTATAGTCCCAAATTGGTTTATTGTAACATATTCTAGGATATCTTGAGGAGTTTCAGGTTCAAATAAATAGCGATATTAAGTTTCTTAGGCTGGTCACCAAAGGTGCTAAAAGAGCCAGGAGAAAACAAGGTTTACCTTTGTCGAAACACTTTCTTTCTAAGATGTGGCCACAAAACAGTTTCTTCCCTACTTTTTTTTTTTTTTTTTTTAGGATATCTATTAAAATATTGCAAAATTTATACACTTGTGAAAATGCCTTCTGAATTTTACTGGCAAAGAAACAGCTGTCCTGAGAAGCGAGTGAGGTTGTTATAGAGAGCAGGGAGCTGGGGCTAGACCATCATTCTAATCTTGCCCAAACTGGTCAACCATATCCTAAGGTGGGTTTTGGGATTTCAGATTATCAGGGTAAGGATTGAGATAATGAGAAGAAAGCATCTGAATATTTTATTCTCTATTAGGCCTATTCTCTGGGGCAGGTTTGCTAAACAGACAGCTTTTGAGGTCCTAGATTTCCTTGTAAAACTGGGAGTTATGTTTTATTCTTATTTTCTAGGTTTTGGGATGTCTTTCCTATAAAGCCTGGATGATATACCATGTGTGTGAGTAAAAGGGAGAAGGGAGAACTTAGTAGAAGTCTGCAGCTGATGGCAGGGTGGGAGAAGGAAAGGGTCAAGAAGTAAAGTCAAATGAGAAAAGGGGCGAAGTGAGGGTTGGGTGAAAAGAAGCCACGGTCACAGATTAGGAGAAAGAAAGGAGACAGCTGCAGATAGTCAAAAAAGCCAAGAAACTGAGTGGTTTGGAAGCTCTGAGTATAAAATTGAGCCTGGCTCAATGAAGCTAACTCAGATGCTGGTAGTGTGAAGAAGTCCCTGAGGAAGAATCAGGAATGACTACCAACTGCTGGATTCCCTGTGAGCTCACACAAGGCATACTTACTGCATGGGTATAATATAGCTACAAAACACTTTCTTAAGCAGTCCACAGAAAGGATGAGTGAGACACAAGCCAGGACTGCGACTCGGATTAAAGATTGCCAGATGGAATGCCATCAGTACCTCCAGACTGGCTGATACTCTGAGAAAGCAGGTTTCAGAAAATGGATCATATCGGCATGAGACTTGATAAAGACTGCAGGAGGTCAAGATCCATGGATAGGATGTACCATGCAGAGATACCAACTAGCAGAGGCATTGCAATATGAGAAAGACCTGGCAAGACAAAAGGGAAGATGTGGAGCAATGAGCTGTCTACTGGGTTCCCAGAGGAGGGGTGTTCATAGACTAGGAGAGGTGTGGAGAGCTGGCCTCAAAGCCTTTAAGTCACACTGTGGTTCTAGGGTGTCTGCTGAGAAGCAGGACCTCAGAAAGGCAGTGGAGTGCTTGTGAAGGAGTGTGTGTGTGTGTGTAATAGCAGTAGATAGTACCAGGCAGGAGGAGACTTGAAGAAAGGCCAAAGTTAGGGGATGATAGCTGCTACTGAGCGAGGAGGCAGTTCTGAAAAGAGCAAGCGAACCTTCTGGCATTGCCATTCACACTAAAGGAAAACAAGGCTAGAGAAAGCAGGTCAGTTTGCTTTCCAAGGGAGAGCATGTGGCACTGCATATTATCTCAGGAGATAACGACCAGACTTAATGAGGGCCAGATAGAGATGGCAGCCAGAGGGGGGGGGAAAATCACATTAGACAGCCAGAGAAGGCAGTTTCAAGACACAAACTATAGCCATGGTTGAGAAACCCAGCTTTGAAAAGAATACAAGAACCACAGCGGCCTGGTTGGTTAGCAAAGCTTCAGCTGCTGAATCTCTTTATCTGGGAAACGGGAACGATGTTTGTCTCAAAGGATTAGGCCTTCGCCGCGAGAAACTTCTGAGCACGTGGACACACGGTAGGAGCCACGCGTGAACGAGGGCCAGCGGCAGAAGTAAGGAGAGGCAGCTGGTTTTCCTCCGTCGCCCAGAAACGGAGGGGGCCTCGGGAAATCCACAGCCTCTGAATTAGCTGAGACGCCCCGGGGAGAGCCGAGGCCGGACCGGTCAAGGGGCCGCACCTCAGCCCCAAGCCCTGCACAGCCCTCCACCCGCCTCCACATCCCGGTCCTCCCCACCGGCCCCCGCCCGCGTGCTGGCCGCTGAGCGGCTCCCGAGCGCGGTGCGCATGCGCCGACCGCGGGCGCCCTCAGAGCCCCGCCCCAACTTTCCACGTTTCACTTCCCTCCGTCGCCGCCTCAGCGGCAGCTTCGCCACCGCGATTGGCTCCCGGACCCCGTCCTCTCGGCCAATAGCCGCCACGCTGTCGCCCCCGTGTTACTGGGTAGAACAAAACAAAAACAAACAGAGCGAGAGGGGCCAGAGGCGCTCCGGAGCGGCTGCGGAGGCTGAGGAGCCGGGTCGGGGCCGGCGGACCGAAGTCCGGGGCGAGCGGCGGCGGCCTGAGGAGGTCAGTGCGGTGGGCGCGGCTCGCACCCCGGGCGGCCGGCGGCGGCCTCCCCGTCGCCCTCGGTCGGCGGAGGCAGCCG